CTAAAAAAGTAAAGTACATTTCATATTGAAAAATCGTTAAACGATGGTTTCAGTATTTTACATGTATACGAGAGTCTCGGTTAAGAAAGTATATTATTGAATAATTATTATCTATAGAATAATACTCTTTTTTTTTGGAGCCCAGAAAGGATTAAAAGTAGTGTCAGCTCAGAGTTTCCTTGCTAATGTTGAAAAAGCTTCGCAGATAATTAAAAATGAATGATTTCTAGATTTTTTACTTCTACTTTTATACTATTATGAGATCCAAGCGTCAATAGTCTTGGTATAATACAGCGAAATGTACCCTGTAATCGACAGAGTTACACAAAAAGATACCTAATACTAAATTAATAATACGAAGGACATTATAGCATCTTGCTGTATAAATATAATTATTTTTTTAATAATTTAGTTTATTCTTTGTATATTTTTTAAGGAGAATCTTCTCCACCATCTGAAAGTCAACAACAACCAGAAAATAGCACTGAGCCATGCTATTTTCCTCAACCACAGGACAAAGTTCCGGATCAGAGTGTTAAAGAGGAAATGGGTCCAGTTGGACCATGGGCCACAGGACGTGTTGACTGGGGTCCTATGGCAGGATTTACTGGAACAAGACCGGTTGTCGATCGATATTCAATTACTAGATACAGCGAGGGAGAATGGCGTGCTCATAATCAAGATATGTTGAACATGTCAGCTTTGGAGCAACATAAAGCTAATCTGTAAATATTTTTATGTTGCTTACTTCAACTTTTTCAGCAAACGACGATTTAATTAAAAAAGGCATTGAAATTTCAAAGACCTACTCGTCTTTTCAAAATACTGACTACTAAAAGTAATCAAATTATACACTTACTTTTTCAATTTATACGCAAAAACTATTGAAAAGAGTTTTCCAAGTTGAGTAGAATTTTTTTGACTTATATGAGCACATTGTGGAGTCATCAAAGTTATCGTTTTTAATTTTGTTATCTGGTTTAGGCATTACAAAAATAACCTTATGAATGAAACTGCAAGTTATGTAAAATGTTGCTCATTTATTTGCATTGAAACAACAGATCTTAAAAGCAATGTATTATACAATAGGAAAAAGTAAATTGAAGGTACAAATCTTGCATTCTAGTTCGGGTTTGTTTCTTCAGGAGCATCAGACCTCTTTCAATAGAAAAAAGGTTACAAGTTATTTCAAAAATATTTGAGAATTATAGTTCTTCATAAAATACATTTGTTGTGTAATAGTAAACCATTATTACCATAATTATTAAAACAAGAAAGCTCTTTCTATAAGATTGGAAACACATAGCATTATAGGTACCTTCTTAAAGGACTGAACTTAGTTCTCTTCAGTAGAAAAAGGTAACTAGCTATACCACTTTAGACGTTTATTACCGTTTTTTGGAGTTGAGTCTTCAGTTATTTAATGTGTCCTAACAGACCTTTTTTCTTAAAATCATCATTTTATCATTTGTCATTTAAACTTGAGGTCTAACATTCGTCTTAACTAGTCAAAATACTCCACTTGCATTTGAAAACAACTTTTTCTGATTTGTAACGTAAAAACAATTCTACATATTTCGCTGAAAATTAATTAGGTAATTGTAATCACCTAATCTGCTTTACAGGAGGGTATTGTTGCTACATTTTATGAAAAGCTAGGGGATGTTGGAAACACTTTTTACACTTGTCCATATCAGGAATGATAAATATTCGACGTTTACGTCCATAAAATACGTCACTCACAATTTCACCTTTTTGCTCCCCTTATATCCCCTTCGTCACGTTAAGTCACACATTCAACGACCCCCCTATAAATACCAATGTGAACGACTTTCTACAGTAATGAAAAATTTTAAGAACTGTCCAGTTAAGAAAAAAATTAAAATGAAATTGATGAACTGCGAACGTTACATTTCCTTAGACCCCCAT